TTGTCCTGATTTGCATTTTCATTTTGCCCCTAATATGTCCTGGTCCAAATTTTGAGGTATAATTATTATTTGTTTTCAACAATACCACCCCGGTTTAATGGAGACAAACCTGGAATAAAAAAAATAATTCTTACATTGCACATAGATTTTTTCCTAGGAGGACAATTAAATAGTGACGGAGGATGTATATTTAAATAAACTAATTCAATTATGACTCATTGGACAGCGGTTAAACCATCAACAGGACGATAAACTTTAAATCAATATATCAACCAGTTCAACAGCCAGTCTAATTTATAAACATTGGAAATGAACAGACATAACGATTTAAAATGCAAATCTTCAAAATGTTGATTACCTATTTTAATCGCTGATTCTCTTTCCATCAAGTGGATTCTCTGCACATATAAAACAAGTAGCATTTTTAAGAGAAATGAGGGTACATAAAAAGCTAGATATGATGTAGTTTTAATACTTATGGACTAAATAACATGCATAAAAGCTTGGTTGAGGATAAAACATAAGGTGTCATATAATCTATATACCAACCCCACCTAGTGGAACAAGACTTATCATTGTTGTGGAAATTGAAGCTTTTTTTTTTTTTAATAGGGTAAACCTGGCCACGGCCTATGAACAATCATTTGAAGGTCACAGCTTAGGAATTTGTTTATTTAAATAATTGAGCATTGCACTGAAAATAATGAATAATTAGAAGTGAATTCTCATTTCACTATAAGCTAAGTTAGCAGCTTATGCATCTCATCGAATTCCAATATTTCATCATTATTGCTGCTCCTTTATAAATAAATTTATTGTATTACTTGGAAAAGAGAAAAAATCAAGGTAATTAAACAAACAATCAAGAAACTTTGAGAAGCTGTAAGTTTTGTGAAATCCTAAAGAACGGACAATATACTAGCCAGGACAATTCGACAGAAACAATTTTTACATAAATATAATAGAAAAGCTCTTATATGCTGCACTATGAAGGGCAACTCATTTTTAGATTAAGTGTAATGCAAGAGACTCGTGCTCGTTTATATTATTTAAAGCAGTAAATGGAGTGAAAATATTGAGAAAAAAATGTAATTAAAAACAATTATGCATATTGATCTCACCAAAATGGATGAATGGTATAATCTTTCAATTTCTGAGTGCTGATCACGCCTTTTAATAACCTGCTGCACATATAGAACCGAAAACACAGCAGGTTCATGAAATCTTACACCTAACCAGTATACTGTTAGTATTTAAGGTTCTTCAAGAGAATAACACAGTATAACATTCATACATACGTACGTACGTAAATATATATATATATATTATCCCAGCCGCTTGAATCATTCTATATTCATTAAGTTCCGGTATAAGCACACATCATTTCAAATTCAAGCTTCTTTAAACTCTGCAGTGATGAGCATATTGTAAAATTTTTGCGTGACTAAAATTAAATGAGCAGCAAAATAAAAGTTGTACGTTAAAAGCAGTAATTATGCAATCAATGCAAGCCTCAAAAATGCAACTAAAATTACATTACTCTTTAGCTAATTTCAGGATGCTTTTACTTGTCCCCTTAAACTCTTACTCATGTAGAACTACGAGAAGTTCTGTTCTAATAAATCCTCCCATCCTCTAATGTCCTAAAAAAACACTAAAAAAACAAGAAACAAACAAGCACAAATAGTTTCAAAAGTACATGAACAAATTATATGCTACCTGCACTACAAGAAGTAATGCTTAAGGGATCACATTCATGTATAATTCTATGCTTGATGATCACAACTCAATAGTTTTTCATTTAACTTGTTAAAATGCATAAACAAGTTCTTAACGGATTTATTTATAAAATATTCTCGCCCTTCATCTTAAACTCTCAACCCATATGTGACCTATATAAAAAATATTGAATCCGACTTCATCAAAGATTAATCAAGTTCAAATGATATAGAGAATGGCAACTCCTTAAACCAGTTATGCAGAGAAATGATGTAAATACCTTGCATAATTGCGTCTTTAATTTATGATATAATGGTGGAAATATTCTAGTATTTTTTTTTTTTCCCGGCCTCAATGAATAGAGGGGGGGAAAGACCAAACACTACCTATACAGTGACTTACGTTTTGATTAAAATATCTCTCCTGACACAAACTCATTCATGATTACAATTAATGGATTTAAGATGTGTAAAAGGTATAACTATAAAGAGTTTCGTTAATCAATGAATTTCCAGTGTTTCTAATCAATTTAATGATGGTAATTTTCAAAGATAGTCTGCAGAAATGAAGAGTATCGTATCCAAGAACAAAAACTTCAAAATTCAGTATATTGAATCGGACTATTATAACTCTTGGAATGGGAAAATTAATAGATCTCCTATATATAATTCAAAGGCGCGTTTTAATTTTGACATCATAAACAAAAATTTGGGATAATTTTCCAGATCTAACAAAGGAGTTTCAGAATTTTGCTTCCCTTCTTAAATAAGTTGAACTTCGCTCACTTTTTTTATGCACCTCGGTTGTTACTAATCTAAACTTCTTCAAAAATTTATTAAACGTACTAAGCAAAAACGACAAAATTGACAATCGGGATAGATTTCATCCAAAGCAAGTTTTAGTACTTATGCATGTGTGGGCATGACAAATGTCTCAAATACACATGCGAATATAGAAATTTAAAGTTCACAAATATACTGTGATGTCAGAGATTACTATATCAATGCGTTGAGTATAATGCCATTATTATGTCTAAATGAACATCCAGAAAGAGCTTTCTCTTCCGAAAACTAATCATGTTTGTGAATCAGATATTACACTAAGCACCATCTTTTTCTCAAGCAAGCTTAACGCTAAAGGATTCTTTTTCTTAAATGGTCAAAAGGTCTCATTCAAAATAAAAAATCCTCTTGTCCAGTGGCTAATTAATATACTTGCATTTATTTATGTGACAACGAAGATGCACACAGACGGGCATGCTGGACTGAATTAACTATAACATACATGACATCACGTTGGCATTATCTTTGCAGTTACATATCAAAACAATAAATGATTAGTTTTTAAAGTCACTTTCCTCCGTTATGATGGAAAAAGAGAGAGAGAGAGAGATACATTTATATTGGATCATGCCAGAACATTAGGTTCAGAGTATTGAAAAGTCTGTCTTATTCAGAGTCAAGGTTACAATTAATCAAAAGAACTGAATAGGGTGGGTTCTCAAAACAAGCAAGTCAGCCAAGATGATGGTGGTGGTGATTATTTTCTCAAAAGAGAGAGCTACAAATTAAATCCATCATGAGGATTGCAAACCGTGTTTTACAGATATTAACGCTGAAAAGATTCTCTAGCAAGCACGTTCGCAGTCAATCTCCTGTTAGTCTAGATTAACGAGCCTAAAATAAAATTTAAAATAATAAGCACAAGTACACGATGTACGAATGCTGCAGATACGAATGAAAATTAAACAAATAATTGCCTGGAAAAAGCATTCAACTGTATATCATCAAGGTGATGAAAAGGAAACTAAAAGAAGAGAGAAGGAGAGACCTTGAGCTACCATATTCAAGAGCTTGCCAGTAGCAGAAAAGACTATGAGAGCAATCTCAGCATCACAGAGAGTAGCAAGTTCATGAGCCTTCTTGAATAGCCCTCTTCTTCTCTTTGAAGACGTTACTTGCCTCGCTGTTATGTTATCGATCTTCTTTATTTCTATCTTCTGTCTTGTCATTTCCTGATTAAGCAAAAATAGACCCAAAATCAGGAAAAGAATGCAGACTCTCCAGAAAATAAAATTACTAAATATTTTGTAACAAAAAAATAAAAGGAATATTAGTGTCCAATCAGTAAAAGGAAATGCGGTGGCTCATTCTCTCCCAAATAGAAGTAGAAAATCAATATCTCAGATCCATTGAGTCCAATCAGTAAAAGGTAATGCGGTGGCTCAGTCTCTCCCAATAGAAGTAGAAAATCAATATCTCAGATCCATTGAGCAATACGGAAAACTAATCTTGAGAAAAGAATTGAGGAGAAACCTTGAAGATCAAAGAGGGCTTTCAATCAGAACAAGCTGATGAATCTTACTGTGAAAACCAAAATGTTCAGGACTAAACAAGAAGAAATAGAATATGAAGAGAAGGGCTGAGAAAGAGAATTTTACCGGAAAAGAAAATTACAGGAGGAAATTAGTTGTCTAAAAAGGAGATGCAAGATTGCAAGAAAGAGGATGATGCTTACCGGCCAAAAATCAGGAATCAACCCTAGCTGAAAAGTAAGCTTAGGCAAGGGTGTGATGAAGATGAGCCCCACCCACAAATTGTCCAAGAGCGAACAAACAGAGAGAGAGGGGGGGGGGAGAGGGAGGCATGTGGTGTGGAAGGGGAAGGAAACGAACTTTTTAGTGAAAGAAGGATTATTATTTTTTTTGGGTGACATGAAGGAAGGATTTTTTTTTTTTTTTTTTTTTTGGGTTGACATGAAAGAAGGATAATTACTCCTTATGAAGGGGGGCAACTTTTTCGTTTTATTTCCTTTTGTAGATTGTGTACTTGATAGTGACATGGCGGCAGGCACACTGCACCCCACGCAATAGTGCAAACACCATCCAATGAAAAGCGCTGAGAGATGTAAAACTCAACTTAAAAAGAAAAAAAAATTAAGGGAGTTAATAGAACCACTTTAGTTTGGTTTAATGTGATTTTGAGTAAAAAAAAAATCCAACAAATTAATCAATTTACTAGAGTTTGAGACTTATTTAATTTTTTATCTAATTGATTTGATTTGATTTTTTAATAGTTTTGTTCAATTTGATTTAAAGTTTTAATCAAACTTAAACTTTTTTATAAGATATTTTTCATAATTATCAACATATGTTCATGTTCAATGATAATTTTTAACTATTAATTACTATTAGAAATTAAAAAAACTATTGAACATTAAAGAATATTTTTTAACAATTAATTGGCATATTTAACCATTAAAAATAATATATTATCTTGATTATAAAATTAAAAAATTATTAGAAACAATTTTAGATAACATTTAGCTAATTGCAATATATTTTTTCTAATTATTTACAAATAAGAAAACTTGGAAAAGGAAAAAAAAATCAGTCAAATTTATTAAAATATATATAATATATATATATATAATAAACATAATAAAGCTTGATTCAGTTTGTTTCAAGTTTTCATAAATAAAAAACTAAACCAAACCAACCTAATTGATTTTGCCAAAAGAAAAATCAAAGAAAACTTAATTTATAATTAGTTTTGGTCAATTCATGTTAGTTTGATTTGGTTTGAATTGGTTTTGAACATTTTTAAATAACACTTTAAGATAAAATAAACATGATATTAAAATTTTAAGACCACTAGATTTTAAAAGGATAATGATGATTAAGTCTTGGAGACATGAATCAATGATAGTTAAGATTTTTTATAAATTTTTTTGAAAAATAAGTTACAAGCATCAATTCAAGTAATTGCAAATTCAAGAGCTTTATTTGTAAATAAATATATATTTAAATTTCAAATATAACTGTCAATTTGCAAAAATTTGAATTAATATTGTAACTCATTCTTAAGAAAAAATTAATTGAGAATCTAGTGGTTATTAATTTCTCTTTTGGGACTTTTGTAATGACTTAGAAAATTAAGTAATAAACTAAAACAGTTATAATTAAATAATTTAAGTGTATTTTTATTAAATTTTAGAGTAAATTTAACAAGTTAAATTGGTAGCTTAGTAGTAACTATTTTGGGTTTATAGTTAGAGGTTCAGCGTTCGAACCTCTAGGTGCCAAGAAGGGAATTTTATTTTTGGGCCATAGCCTCTTGAAATTATCATTTTGCCCTCCTAGCTATCAGATTTTTCCTCTTCATCTCATCTTATTTCCATCTATTACACACTGAGAGAACAAGAGTGAGATAGAGTTTTGAGAAGCATCTATCACTTCCTTCATTCTTCCCTCCTATCGTCAATGTGGTGCTTTGTTCATATGTTGCTGTCACCATGAATCTGTCTAGTTCGTATGTTTTTCTTCTCCTCATCTTTAGTTCATATGGTCTTCTTCTCCCCTCTTTCACAACACTTTCTTATCTCTGTTCGGGTGGCTATTGCAGACGCATAAGGATCTCTTCCTTCCTCTTTCTTGTGTGAGCAGAAGTGTCTCCTCCTAGCGTTCACTACTATTAATCAGAGGTAAAAATTATCAAATCTCTTCTTGCCCCTCAAGTTCTTTATCACAGGTAAAAACTATAGGAAGTTTGGAAGGGAGGAAATTAATTAATGTAGTAAGAGGAAAACCTTGTATTTTGAAAAAATTGAAGGTAAGTTAATAGTACTCCTATTGTTTTACCAATAAAAGTAGTTTGTTATTGAAAATATTGCATTTTTATATAAGTCATTTTTAATAACTAATGAATATCAAGTGCTTTGTTTATTAAATTATTTTAGTTTTGGAAATTATAGAATAATGATGAAAGATAATTAAATTATGACATGTGCATGTATTTTTCCTTAAGAATATACTTCCAAGATTGAGAAAGGCATATTTGTTTATTGAACTCTATAATTTCTTAGTTACTCAATTAATGCAAGCTGTACATTAGAGATGAAGTATTATTTCAACAAGTTTTGATATTTGAAAAAAATTCATGTGAGTTTGGCATTGAAAATAAAAATTTTATTTTAATAATGATTATTTTTCTCACATGTTTGAAATGTGATTTCTAAGAGGACTCTAAACAAAACATTGCTGCTAATGACAGTTCCATTAGCCCTTAGCACACCATGATTAATGACTAGTAAGTTTGATTTTGATGAACTCTGTTCTCACGTCTATTATTCATGGGTCTCGTACTTGCGTCTATTTTATGGCTTTGACCATGTCTGGTTTGTTACCTTTGTGAAATGTGCGTCCACGTCCGTTTCATGATTTTGACCACGTTTGGTTAGTTACTCTAATAGATTGTGTATCAATGTTTGTCTTTATGATATAAGCCGCGCGTTCGGTTATTTACCCTCATGGATCGTATGTCCACATTTGTTTCTTATTCTGTTAAGTTCTCAAAATTCTAAATATTTAATTAACTTGTGTAAATGAAATTTTAATGGTTCTAGTTTGTAAATGTACTACATATGAATAATTTGTTATCTTCAAGCATAATAGAATAAAGAAATATTAGTTCACTCTCAGTTTATGTTATGATTCAGATCTATAGGTTTATTAAGTTTATTTTTATTGAATTATCATTTTTAATTATTTTACATAATTATTTGAGTTAATAATTTTTTTACTTTTTTAAATTCTATATTTTTAGGGATACTATTCACTAAAAAAATATTTTGATCTCAAATTCACTAGTTGACATTGAATCTCCTACAGATCATGGAAGAATTTATTAATGGCTAGGAAGTGGAGCTGTAGATTAAACTATCTTTTGATGTAAAAATTTAGATTATGAAATTGTATTTTGTGAACTAAATTCTAGGTGCTCCACATATGCTATAATTAGGTTCTTATTTTGATGTATATTTCATCTACTGGTTGGAAGGAGCTGGGCTCTTGGTTGTTATGATATTTGTTAAAAATTTGTATTGTAAATTTTTGAAAAATCCTAAATACTAGGAAGATTTTGCCTGAATTTTCATAAAAATATGAGTTCATTTTTAATGAAAAGTAGTAAAAAATATGTGAAAAATTTCTTGAATCAAGCTTAAGGGATGTGTGATTAAGTGTATACTCATTGCTGGTCACTCCTATATTTTGAGACGTGACAAAAGAAAAAAAAAATTAAAGCATTAAATATATGACATTTTTAACTAATTCATGCATAGGACTTTTCTAGCCTTAATACATTTACAAATTTAATTATATGCATGTAAAAGTCAAAAGAATTATGACTTACAAACAAAGAGATACATCTTTAAGCCAAAACCATCCAAGTGGGGCCTAATTGGTTAAACTCATTAAAGCTTTGATATGCCCTTTATGCCAGCAATTATTTAAGTCTCTACCAACAACAAAAAAGTCTAAATTAATTATGTAGTCTAGGGCCGATTTAGGTTATTATATTTATAGTTAATAAACATCCTAAATCTTAAATTATTGCATGAATAATATTTTGAATTTTAAACTTTTAAAATTTATAAAAACTCCCCTCGACTTATAAAATTTAATTGCATGAAACCCCACCATTAAATTTGAAAAAACGACTGTCACTTTTAAGGATTAAGACAAATGCCACGTCAATATGCGCTTGGGCCCCTAACTACAAAGTAACTGTTGCTTTATACAACTAAACAGCAGGGTTTCAGGCACTTAGAATTTTGAAGTTGAATAGAATTTTTACTCATTTTAAAAGTTTAAAGTCTAGGATGCTATTCATGCACAATATTTTGGGTCTAGAATGCTCATTAACTCTTATATCTATATGTTATGATAACTTAAATGATGATTTTTAGCATTAATTATTATTTTTTTAAAAAATAAATTTAATATGTCAAACAATTGATAATGTTTTGTTAAAATTCAAAAGTTTAACATTAATATATATATTTTTAATGAAACTAACAATGTTAGAGTTAGAAAATTAAATAAATACTTATAAAAATTAATGAATTAAAATAAAATCTTGTATAAAATTAAATAATCAAATGTACACTTTTTCCTTGTATTTCTTAATGTTTATGTAAAAACTATAAAAGACGTAGTCCCTCCGATCTTAT